GTCGGATTGTTGAAGAGTGCTCTCAGAGAGCAGGTGTGTGAGTCGAGTGGCGAACAAATTGGCCGTCTGTTGTGATTGCAGCTTTTCGACGTTAAGCTTTCCTTGCATTGTTGGGCGCACATTTTTTGCTGCACAGAGGCGGGTGCATATCTTGGCTACAACAAGATAGTAGTCCGAGTCGATGTTTAGCCTTCGGAGTGTACATACGTCTAAAACGTTTGAAGCATGCCTTCAGTCTATCACAACATGATCGATTTGGTTTCTCGTTTTTCGATCCGGAGACAGCCACGTAGCTTTGTGGATGTTCTTATGCTGGAACCTAGTACTACATATTACCATGTTTCGGGCCCCGGTGAAGTCGATCAGCCTCAGTCCGTTATCTGACGTTTCATCGTGGAGGCTGAGTTTTCAGATAGTGGCGCCAAAGATCCCTTCCTTGCCCACCTTGGCATTAAAATCGCCAAGCACGATTTGGACATCGTGTCGGGGGCAGGGCTCATATCTACGTTCCAAGCGCTCATCGAAGAGATACTTGGACGCCTCATCCTTCTCTTCCGTCAGGGCATGGGCGCAGATGAGCGAGATGTCGAAGAATCTAGCTTTGATGCGGATTGTGGCTAGACGTTCGTCCACCGGGGTATACTCCAGTACTCGGCGACGGAGTCTCTCTGCTACCACGAACCCAACACCGAATTTGCGCTCCTTTACGTGGCAACTGTAGTAGACGTCGCAAGGCTTCACGCTTATTTGTCCTTGCCCCGTCTACCGCATTCCTTGGATGGCGGTGATATCAGCCTTTGTCTTCCCGAGGCCATCAACCAGCCGGGCAGAGGTACCTTGCCCATTAAGGGTCCTGATATTCTAGGTGCATACCCTTAAATCATAGTCCTTTATACGTTTGCCGTGGTCGTCATCAGAAAAAGGGGGTCTCATCCGAGCGTGGCGGGACCCAAGCCCAGCCCTCGCGAAGTAACGCCTTCCCAATTTAGCTCGCTCCCAAACGGGTGTTTGGTTGCTACCCGGAGGATTCGTGGATATAAATATCCGGACGTTGTGAGCTGCGATTTGAACCGTACGCACAAGAATCGCTTCTGGCCACTCCCAGGTGAGTGGAAGTCAGAAGTTTTCCACTTCTGCGCACGAAACCATCCTCTTTCTATCCTTTTCGAAATCTAGGTACGTTAAAAATGGGCCTTGATCAAGAACACAATCAGAATTAAATTAAATTTCCGAGTTGGACCTGGCGCTTCCAATAGGAACAATCCGTACTTTACTTTACAATTACTTTAACTAGTACATATCTAAGCTCTTTTGTTATAGTCAGTAAGAATTGTTATTAATTTGACTGAATTTAATTAAATATATAAATAAATAAATTGATACTAAGTAACTTTGTAAAAAGTGGATATATTTTGACTTGGCTAGATCCCTTGGAGAATTTAAATTTATTTAAAATAGTAGTTATTTACCAACGCAAGAAGTTTTTATCGAAGCCAAAGCCGCGCTACATTTGCAGAATGGCCATTTGTCGGACTCACAAAAACTAGATATAAAAACGAATATTTTAAATTTTTATTTGGAGTTATCTGCTTTCGCAGCGGTTTGATTTTGCGAGAGAAGACTTACGATACTTATCTAACATAACTCCTGGGAAAGTGTTATCAGATTCACAAATATGCATAATGCCTTTAATTTCCAGTTTCCCTAACTTATAAATAAATAAATTGTTACACAATGGAGTTTATTAAGATTTAGCAATATTGAACTTAAAGGCGACATGTATATCGTTGAGTTTTGGGAAAAAGTTGCCTCTTTTCGAAGTGGTATAGAAGAGTTATGTTTCAAGGAGCTTGCTTATTTTGTAAGTAACTTACTATCCTTGCCGCATAGTTCAGCCGCTGCTGAAAGGAAGTTTTCAGACTTGAATTTAGTCAAAACGAAATTACGAAATAAACTTGAAACCAGAACTATAAATAATATTATGTTGTCAAAAGAATTATGCGTAGGCAAAGTTGAACCTCACTATGTATGGTCGGCAAAAGGCATTATTTAATCAATTAAAAAACAAAAAACATCTTATTCCGCTAAGAGATAAATTTAAGAATACAACAACGTATTTGCGGAAAATTAATTATACTTTAGACCAGAGGCGGGCAGCTTCGACAGAGATTTTTGTAGTGTGCGAGAAATTGATGTCCCTGTGTGCGTGCGAACAAGCGGTGCGGTTGAATGAAGCTATCGCTGCCTTCTAAAGCAGAGCGTGTATGTATACGCGACTATGCCCGCCGGGCAGGCACCGCCCAGGTCTGCTTTAGACCAATGCTGGGCACACCAACACAGTCTCAGTTTGTCGTGGGAATAGTGCGACGCGCTTACTTATGGTTGCCACGTTTTTATAACTGTACTAAAACTGGTATTTTTCGTGTATGTGTCTTTTGCCCTAATTTGCTTATACGTATAGTGAAATAATAAATCGTGGAAAGTTTTTAGTAACTAATACTATTAGTTTATAGAAACTTTTCCATACGAAAAATTTAATACTTGTAAAATTGTAAAAAATTTAAATATGTAGGTTTAACTCATTTGTTTAGTACCTGGACACAATTTTATTGGAATATAATCTTTGATATGCTGGCCAGCCAGATGATTTCGGTGTTTAGATTCTATTATTTTCATATAAATATGAATTTAGTTCTAAATATAGAATATAATTTATAAAAATTATTCATTAAGTATTTTTGGATATAAACCAGTATTTGAACTTCTATATTGATTTCTTTAGATAGAAACAATTATTCAAAAATATGGCATACAATTTGTGCACTTTTTTTTAAAGCAAGCAGCTCATTTTATTTTTTTTTTAATTGACACGCCATGAAAAATATAGTTTGCTTATATCGAAAATACGTAGGCTTGTTGATAGTTCTTTGAACAATAAACTCTAGTTCTTATAAAGGGTCGCACTATTTTGTGTTTGAATCGTCGCAAATACATGCAAACACGAATCTAAGAAAAACACACCATTTTTTGCTTTGGTTATTTTTTGTAAATTTTCTACACAAAATGTGGCAAGCGCGTGATAAAATTACGCAGAAAAATAATCCACAGCCGAGCATGATGTTACCTTGGTGAAATCTACAAGCGGACTGAATCGAAATTCGCTGCTCTGCTTCTGTGTACGTATAGGAAGTGCGACGCTGGCGTTGCTCGCGAGCAAAAATTGCCCACCTCTGCTTTAGGCAAATGCACTAATTTATGTACAATAACATTACGTACATAAATACATACATATGTATGTATTTACTATTTGTGTTTAATGCAAAGGTGGCCATTTCATAGGCACAGATTTTTTACCCACTATTAATGGGAAGGGAGGGCACAATGTTTGGTGTGCCATGAAAAAATCGCACGGGCACAAACATGTTTGTTAAGCGCCATTATAGCGCCATTTCCCCTTATTCCCAAATATTGAATTAATAAATTATTACACACATATGCACATAAATAAAAAGTTTAATTAAAAATGATGCTAAAAATTCCCTTTTTTTATTTCAAACCTAGAAGATGTATACAAATAAATTCAACTATTTGCTTTAATTTTAATTTTAGTTATAATAAAAAATCTAAGCAAGCAATTAAAGTGAACTAAACTATATTAAAAGGTAAATCTTTAATATATTCTCTACCTTTCACACTATTTACATAATACAAAAATCCTTTTTTCTTATCATTTGCAACTCGAAATCGTTGACAACACTGTTTTCATCAGACGCGTGCGCGACTTATCCTCTTCATTCTCTCCTTGTTTAGAAAAATTGAAATATATGATTGTGTGAGTTTTGGCCACCTCTGGTTTGAAGGCACATTTGTACGGATACCTTAAAGGTGAAGTATTTACTATCGCTTCATGAGTTTTATATTATTTTAGAAAGACTTAAACTAAACTTAATTTAATATCTTATTTGATAAATTAATATGTATGTAATTTAAAGTATATTTAAGCACAAGTAATTATATGTATGCACTAATACAGTTTGCGTTACATAGTTTTTAAAAATACTTTTGATTTTGCTGGGTTTCTTGGTATCTGATTTGAAATTGTTCGTTCCTTACATATTCTCTGTGCTGTTTTATTATACTTACTATAAAACAATATGTACCCATATACAAATGTATATACATATACACATTTGAAAAAAAGTTAGTTTGCTTGAGTTTTTCGAGAAATGGTAAACTTTTTGAAAGATTTTGATAATTTTTTTTTTCCTGTCGCGGAAACACTGCTAATAAGGCCTTGAAGGTCGCGATAAACTCCCGGCCGGACTTATTTACAAAAACGTTTCATACGTGCTTGAAAGAATGCATATTTCCCAGTAGTTGGAAAGTCCAAAACTTGGTATAGTTACCCAAGGGAAATAAACCGCCTGGAGAGCCCTCGTCTTACCGGCCTATATGCCTACTAGACACGATAGAGAATGTTCTTGAGAAAATAATCTGCAACAGGCTCACGACGATCGCAAAAGATAAATGTTTTCTATCGGCCTACCAGTTTGGCTTCAGAAAATCCCGGTCGACTATAGATGCAATTAAATCTGTCGTCGACATTGCCAAAGGGGCTATCGAAGGCAAAAGGTGACGCGGAGGGAAAACAGAATATTGTGTGGTAATAACGCTGGACGTAAAGAACGCCTTTAATACCGCGAGCTGGCAGCGCATAATGGAAACGCTCATTAAAATGAAAGCTCCAACATATGTAACGTAGCTCCCCTACGCTACACTGACAGACATACGTACATGCA